ACCCACCACCAGGGTGTTTTTTGGCAGCCTCAGCCAACCATGCATATTTTGTTGTAGTTCCCGTGCCCGGGGGACACTGCAGGTTGGCTCTTTCCTCCTCATGGTTACGATTTATGATATTTTTGACTCCTTGTGTCTTCCTCCGGGACGATACAGTTGTCCAAGGAGTTTCGTCACTATCAGGCTCCTCCTGTCCAGCATTTGAGTCCACTGTGAAAGATACCATGCTTGTATCTTCCTCCACTTTATTGCAAGTTTTTATATACGGAGCCCGAGTGGCAACTCATCTGACGTCACCGGTTGAGTTCATTACCAGCGAAGCATCTGATTGGTTGGTTAGTTTACTCACGCCACAGGCAGGGTTCATTATCGGCACCTGATTGGTTGCTCACATTACCATACCGGCACCTGATTGGTTACGCACATAATGACGTCATATTACCATACCGGCACCTGATTGGTTGCTCGCACTACTTACGTCACAATATATACCATACCAGCACCTGATTGGTTGCTCACACTACTGACGTCACGTAATATGCGATATTCAGTATCGTGGACAGAACCAAAAAAAAATTACCAATTAAATCCAACTAGCGCGTGAATAAATAAAGACAGAGCGGACTAATTGTTCCAATTTGTCTTTGTAACTTGTTGCATTAAGTGGGGCTAGGTATCCTAAGTCTCCTTGTTTCACTTTTTTACTTAATTTTTAACTTACTCTATACTAGTCATTTACTGGACTTAATTAATTGAGTGCATTAATAGTTCTTCAGGTCTTATTAATTATACAGTCATAACTGAACTATTTATAGTTAATAATCATTAGCTTAAATTTGCCTATGTTTATTATTCAACTTTTTCTTTGATTTCATTTATTACCTAGTTTGCCAAGCCTCGCCATACTCCCTTACTCCATTGTACCCCTGGCTTTACCTGTGTCTCAATAATGCAAATTATTACTTATAGTGTACCTGAGAGTACCTGTAAGCTACCTCATTTTTTCTTTTGTTGTTCATTTTGTGTTTGTTTTGTATAGTCTTGTTTATATATTTTTCCCCCTTTTATAGCATAATTCTATTTTGTAATTTGCCATTCTTGCCTTGTTTTCCTGCAACCAGCCTTTTTATGCAGACAAGTATAGACCCAGAACTAAACCTCTTATCCACTATCTATGACAATCATCACTTTAATGATCTAAATTGCAGATATTTTACAGCACATGATGTAAACAATGTATTAACTCATAATCACAATATCTCTGTAATCAACTTGAACGTATAGATCCCTAGGTAAACACTTCGATGATGTTAGTGCCTTGATTGAAACTATTGACAACAAATTCTCTTTTATTATACTTACTGAAACATGGTTGAAAGAGGATACTACTCAACTCTTTAACATGCCTAACTACTCGGCAATTCACAACTGTCGTCAACTTCAGAGAGGTGATGGCACTGCTCTTTACAACCACCAAGAACTAACATGCTTAAAAGTAATTAGAACTAGAGACTGCTGTGGGGAGTATATCTTCGCCAGCTTCAGAGTCAAGGGTGCAGAGTCTGTCCTGTCTGTGGGTGCAGTCTATAGAATTCCTAACACTGATGTGTCCGAATTCAACTCAAACCTTAGAAATCTAACACTCGATAACAGACTGAACAAAAACCATCTAATTATCGCAGGGGACTTTAATATTGACCTCTGCGAGCCTGAACACCCTACTGCTGTTAGCTTCCTCAACTGTATGAATTCCTGCTTCCTCATACCCTTAATCACTAGACCTACTAGAATCACTGATAGCACTGCCACGACGCTAGATCACATCTGGACAAACATAACCTCTCCGCTTACTTCAGGTATAATCACCGATAGCACTACAGACCATTACCCCACATTTCTCTTAACTAACATTAGCAAACCACCTCTAGAGTCAAGGGAGTTAAGTTTTAGGCTGCACAATGAAACTGCTATAGACAATTTTATAACTGCTGCTGATAATGTCAACTGGGAGTCCGAGTCAGGTAACATAGGGGACATCAACCTAGCAGTGCAATCTTTTCTTCAAAAAACTCTTAGCCTTTATAACACCCACTGTCCTATGCTTACAAAACAAGTCACAACCAAAAGGCTTAACAATCCCTGGCTTACAAAGGGAATACTTAAATCCATTAATAAAAAACATGACCTTGAGAAGAAGTATAGGTTAGGAATTGTCTCCAAAGAATTCTCAAAGAATTACTCATTATTGCTATCTAAGATAATTAGACGAGCCAAAACTAAATACTACGAAGATAAATTTACCCAAATAAAGAGCAATATTAAAAAAACTTGGAGCACAATTTCACAAATATTGGGATCAAAGAAGACTTTAAATAACAAACCAACACTCCTGTCCTATAACGATGGTCAACTTTCAGCCTCTGATTCTGCTATTGAGTTCAATAGGTTCTTCTCTTCCATTGGGTCATCCCTTGCAAATGATATTCCATCTTCCAGTACTGACGTTAAGGACTATCTTACAGGTAACTATCCACAGTCTCTGTACCTAAAGCCTATTAATTCCACTGACGTCAATGAGATAATCCTTTCCCTTAAAACCAAGTCTAGTGCCCTTGAGGAGATACCAACTTTAATTTACAAAAAAGCCTCCAGATCTTTAGCCCCTGCTATTGCTTTGCTCTTCAACAAGTCACTTGAACTCCAAACCTTTCCAGATATTCTAAAAAAAAGCGAGAGTAACGCCTGTCCACAAATGTGGTGATCTCACAGATGTTAACAACTACAGACCTATATCAATCCTGCCAAACTTGTCAAAAAATTTTGAAAAACTAATCTATAAGCAGCTTTACTCTTATCTAGCCAAACACAATATACTTAGCCCTTGCCAATATGGCTTGAGACCCAAAAAAAGCACTAACGATGCACTTATTAGTATGCTTACAGCTCTTCATACAGCTCTTGATAAAAATGAGTTCCCTGTTGGGTTATTTGTGGACCTGCGTAAGGCTTTTGACACTGTCAACCACCAAAACCTTCTTCTTAAATTACATCATTATGGAGTCAGAGGACACTCCCTGCAATACCTCAAATCCTACCTTACTGACAGGCTCCAGTATGTTTCTGCGAATAATTCAATTTCTCCCACCCTACCCATCAACATTGGTGTTCCTCAGGGCAGCATACTTGGCCCTCTCCTTTTTTGTTTTTTTGATACAGTGCCACATGAAAGATTGATTAAAAAGATAGAGTCTCATGGTATTGGGGGTGCTATATTAAGCTGGATTAGGGCATGGCTATACCAAAGGAAGCAGAGAGTTAGTATAAATGGAATTAAGTCAGAGTGGGAAAATGTTGTAAGTGGAGTGCCTCAAGGCTCTGTCCTGGGACCTCTGTTGTTTATAATATATATAAATGATTTAGATTCAGGTTTGAGTAGCAACATTTGCAAATTTGCCGATGATACGAAAATCGGTAGGGAAATTAATTCGGAGGAGGACTCACTATCACTTCAAGTTGATCTAGATAGGGTTTTGAAATGGTCAAAGGATTGGCAGATGCAGTTTAATGCTGATAAATGTAAAGTTCTGAGGTTAGGTAATGATGATAGAGTTACAAGATACGAGCTAGATGGTGTTGAGATTGCGAAGTCGGATTGCGAAAGGGATCTGGGAGTTATGATTAGTAAGAATTTAAAACAAAAGGATCAATGCATAAATATTCGTAATAAGGCAAATCGGACACTTGGATTTATTAATCGCAGCGTTAGCAACAAGACACCTGGTGTGGTTCTCAAGCTATATCTTGCTCTAGTTAGGCCCCATTTAGATTATGCAGTTCAGTTTTGGTCGCTATATTATAGAATGGATATAAATTCACTTGAACGTGTCCAGCGTAGGATGACTAAGTTAATTCCCCAAATTATAAATCTTTCATATGAAGAAAGATTAACAAAGCTTAAGTTGTATTCACTGGAAAGGCGAAGAGTTAGGGGTGACATGATAGAGGTTTACAAGTGGGTGAATGGATATAACAAAGGGGATATTAATAGGGTATTAAAAGTATCAACACAAGACAGAACTCGAAACAATGGGTATAAATTGGATAAGTTTAGATTTAGGAAAGACTTGGGTAAATACTGGTTCAGTAACAGGGTTGTTCATTTGTGGAACCAATTACCGCGTAACGTGCTGGAGGTGGGGTCCCTCGATTGTTTCAAGCGCGGGTTGGACAAGTATATGAGTGGGATTGGGTGGTTATAAATAGGAGTTGCCTCGTATGGGCCAATAGGCCTTCTGCAGTTGCCTTTGTTCTTATGTTCTTATAACAGGGGGGATATTAATAGGGTATTAAAAATATCAACACAAGACAGAACACGAAACAATGGGTATAAATTGGATAAGTTTAGATTTAGGAAAGACTTGGGTAAATACTGGTTCAGTAACAGGGTTGTTGATTTGTGGAACCAATTGCCGCGTAACGTGGTGGAGGTGGGGTCCCTCAATTGTTTCAAGCGCGGGTTGGACAAGTATATGAGTGGGATTGGGTGGTTATAGATAGGAGCTGCCTCGTATGGGCCTTCTGCAGTTACCTTTGTTCTTATGTTCTTACATAGCAATAATGATTTTACATTCTTGTAAAGCCATTAGCACGCATTACGTTTCAGGCAAGTCCTTAATCTAACAGATAATAGTCATTATAGTGTATTGTCATTATTGTGCATTAATCTAATCTTTGTTTATTGTGTCAAAATTTCTTACAATATAGCTGTAAACATTATTTGTCAATTTTCCTGGAAATTATCTACTTAAAATTATCTGTTAGATTAAGGACTTGCCCGAAACGCTATGCGTGCTAGTGGCTTTACAAGAATGTAAAAACATCAATGCTATGTACTCTCATAACCCAATATACCTAATTATAAATAAATAAATAAATAAATAAATTCATGAAAACAAGGGAGAGAGGGATCAAGTATTGCTGGCCATGGAAAAAATAAAACGATGGTTCGAATCAAAACAAACCTCAGTGACCTCCCACGATCGTCGTCGCCCCTAAATCAACACAACAACAACCTCAGTGCTCATCTCGCCATGTTGACTGTCCCAACATTGATACTGGTGCAGTCATCGGGAGGGTAAACCCTTCATGCAAACTGCACCTATACCATCAACAACAAGAAGGCTGCCTCTAGTGCAGTCATCGGGAGGACAGCTCCTTCATGCAAACTGCACCTACGATCAAGAAGAAGAGACCCCCTCTAGCAGTCATCGGGAGGATAAAACATTCACGCAAACTGCCGTACTATAAAGAAGAAGGAGAGACTATCTTACGGCCTATTTTAAGGATCTATAAGGATAGCTTGCGGAATAAGTAAGAAAAGCGTCCACTAAAATACTTTTTCTGTAGTTATTATAATATATATATATATATATATATATATATATATATATATATATATATATATATATATATATATATATATATATATATATATACTTATATACTTATATACATATATACATATATACATATACATATACATATACATACTCATCCCTAACTATGTAAAGCCAGAATTAAATTGGTCAACAAATAAATCAGTTACAGCTCTCAAAACTTGGGACTTTGAATTTTTTGTAGCTGATTTTTTCCCAGATTTCAAACTCTATTTTCATTGTTTCTTTAAGTTGTTTTGATGATTAGGGACCAGATTAGGGCTTTTTTGCTTATGTAAAGTATACCCTAAATATATTCCCTAAATCATTATAATTATATCTATACTTTGTTTTTTTGGGGGGTAATTTTTTCTTGACTTCATTTATACACACACATTGACGTACAACTTTCACATACTTGAGTGCGAATGCCAAACAATGTTTATTACAGCATACAAGTAAATTCATGAATTTGAACTGCCTTATTCATTGTCAATAACTTCAACTTCAATTAAATCTATAACTAAAATTTCAACTTACTTCAGTATCCAAAAATCTAGTTTCTGACCGATTCTCACCATTTTTACATATAATGTGCACAGCTGTCTGTTCTACAATCCCTATAGAATTGATTTTTCATAAACTCTAAACGTTTGGAGTTATGAATTTTTGTTGTCTAAATTTGCGCATATTTCAAATGCCATATTAACACACTACACACAGAAATCACAATAACGTGATGCATTAAATGAACAAAACTCGGTTTCAATTCTTTTACCATGTTGTAGCTCAGTCGATTAAGGCAGCGTCTGGGATGCTCCCGGACGCAGGTTCAAATCCTCGTCACGGCTCTTCTGGATTTGGCCATATTAAAAAATTTTTTTTACAGTAAACTATACTGAAAACCTATATTCTATATATATGAAAATGAAGATTATATGCTATTTTGAGAGAATAATAACACCAAATGAACAGTTGGTGATATTTTTATATTTTTGCAGCTGATTTCAAAATCTGAAGTTTTCAATATTCAATTTTATAATTATTTTTTATTTTCTTGTTTTTCAAGTTACACTGGTATCAAAGTTGGAACATTTGCTAGTAGATTATTCACAAAACATTTGAAGGAATTTCAGAAAATGTTAAAAACTCAGTTCAGTGTCACACATCATATGAGGTTTTGCGCAGTTTAAGGGTTAATCCTATGTTCCCTGGAATATGACCCCACAAAAAATTGTTTAACAACCAAGTACCCATTTTACTGTTTAGTTAAACAGAGGCTACAGTTAAGGATTTGTGCCCAGTAAATCCTCCCAGAGCAGGATACAAACCCAGGACAAAGCGCTCGCGAAACGCCAGGGGAGTGTCTTAACCACTATACCACAGGGACTGCATCTTGTGTGCATGTTCCTTGTATACACGTACATGTCTCTTGTATTCTGTTTTGTAAATACATTCCTTTAATGTTATCTTGTTGTAGACTGCATTGTAACTATTAAGTTATGTTTAATGTTATCCTCTTGTGGCCTATAATGTAAATACTATACATGCCTCCAACATCACCCTCCTCTTCAATTTGCTCTATTTCTTCTGCTAAAACAGATTTAGATTGCTGCATATTAATTGAGAATTTTGGGTTCCTTGTAATTAATACTAAACATATAATCTTTTCAGGTAAATGATAAAAGTACAGCACTTTAAACAACTGCATTCTCTGAAGATACTGCCCCGAAATTTTGAAAACAAGTTTTAAAACTGTAATTTTTTTTCAAGTGTTGCATTTAAGCTCTCAAAAGCTCTGTTTATAAGATGTTAAAAAAACAGTACTAGAAGAAACTTGCATGCCATAAAAATATTGATTTAAAAATTGGCTAATACATCCAAGTATGATGGCAGAATTTGTCTGGTAGCATTATCTTATAAAATTAAAGTACTTTGAACTCAAAGAAATAAGTCATCAGAAGCAAAGAAATAATACCTAGTACTACTTATACAAATATTATAAAAATTAAATAATGAAATTGGCAGATATTTGAAGATGAACATGGAGACTACTATATATATTGATTCACAAAATGGCAGAAACAGCTATGAACAAGAGCTCATTGGTGCTGGTGCAGGTAGTAAAGACAATGCAAAGGGGTCAGAAAGCAAAGGCTGTCCCAAGAGGTCAGAAAGTATTGAACAGAGATTCCATAAGTATCATGAAGAGAAGCCTACAAGAGCAGCACCCACCTTAGACTATTTTGGTAAGCAAATAATAGGGATTAGATATTGGTATATTATATACATATGGATAACTCAAATGCCTACTGCTTGAAGGTGTAGGGATATGGTGACCTCACTGACGTCTACTGTGTGGTGCATTCACCCTTACTTTCAATACTTTATAAGGGTTGGGGGGAGTGGGCTTGGAACTCATCTTCCCACAAATTTCTTGTCACTTAACCCCTGCACTGCACACCTGTTTTTGGCAAAAACTTCATAGTGCAATTATTAAGGACATATTTTTGTTGTTTTTATAAATATTCAGGTAAAGTTAATGTCAAAATGTTTCCAAACTCAACCATTTTCATTTCAAAACACAAAGAGTGATGAAAACATTAAAAAAAACATTGAAATATAGCCTAATTAAAAAAAAAATAGTACAACTCTCAGAACGAGATTTCTCGATTGGCGCAGCACAGTGGTTATAGGTCAAAATGTTATAAAAACAGAAGAAGAAAATAAGAGAAGGAAGGAAGAAGTAAGTCTGTTAATAAATAAAGAACAGTGAGTGAAATTCAAGTTTGAAATAGTAGAAGTATCATGTGTTACTGCATATGCACAATGCAACGACAGAAACGAGATTAACAAAAGTTTGAGAAAGCTTAGAGAATGATATTAAAAGGATTCCAAGGAGTTATAGAAAAATTGCAATGGGTGGTCTGAATGGAAAGTGAAAATAGATATGATGTTAACATAATACTGTAGGTGAAATAGTTGTTATAGGAATAAATGGATCTAGATAGAAATATTCATGTAATGAAAGAATTATGTTCCATACATATTATTATCACATAATTCAAGTGTAAAGATATGCATACAACATTTGTATACATACACATAGCATTTACATATGGTACATACATATACAGTACAGTACAATATATTGAATTCTTTGTTATCTTTCAGAGGAGGAAATAGAGCTGGATTTACTCAATATGGAAGTCTTCAAAGTGGTAGGTGCTGAAGAACACACCAGGGACACACAAATTATACACACAAGTACTCCAAAAACAGATAAAAGCAGCAGCAGCAGCAGAGAGATTGGGGATAAAAAAAGTCAAGTTCATAGCTCTAAAGATTCTCCAAAATTACGTAATGAGCGAAAGAGTAGCGAGTCCTCCAGAAGACATACGAAAGATGGTTCAAGAGGATCAGAAAATTATTGTCATAGATACAATACACGCCATAATCAAAGGAAAGGTCATTCAGAAACATTAGTCGATGAGCAATATTCTGCTAGGTTGGTTAGCCAGAGAATAAAATATTCAAAAAAAATAAAAAAATGTAAGCAGTCATTGGAATATTTTATACAGAGAGGTAAAGCCGAAGAGGATGCTGTTGATTCAAAAAGAGAGGTTGGCAAGTGTAAGCAGGTGAATGAAGTGTCTCAGCAGGTGAATGGAGTAGCTCAGCAGGTGAGTGAAGTGTCTCAGCAGGTGAGTAGAGTAGCCCAACAGGCAAGTAAAATGTCCCAGCAGATGTCCGAAGTGCCCCAGCAGATGCAGAAAGTGTCCCATCAGGTGAGTGAAGTGTCCCAGCAGGCGAGTGAAGTTCCCCAGAAGGCGAGTAAAGTTCCTCAGAAAGCTAGGAAAGTTACCCAGAAGGCAAGGAAAGTTCCCCAGAAAGTGAGGAAAGTTCCCCAGCGGGCTAGGAAAGTTCTCCAGCAGGCAAGTGAAGAATCCAAGGGAGAGAATGAAGAGGTGATCAAAGTGTCCAAGGGGGTGATTAAAGTGTCCATGGAAGCAAATGAAGAATCCAAAAAAGAGAGTGAAGAGGTGATCGAAGTGTCCATGGAGGCAAATGAAGAATCCAAGGGAGAGAGTGAAGAGGTGATCGAAGTGCCCATGGAGGCAAATGAAGAATCCAAGGGAGAGAGTGAAGAGGTGATCGAAGTGTCCATGGAAGCAAATGAAGAATCCAAGGGAGAGAGTGAAGAGGTGATCGAAGTGTCCATGGAGGCAAATGAAGAATCCAAGGGAGAGAGTGAAGAGGTGATCGAAGTGCCCATGGAGGCAAATGAAGAATCCAAGGGAGAGAGTGAAGAGGTGATTGAAGTGCCCATGGAGGCAAATGAAGAATCTAAGGGAGAGAGTGAAGAGGTAATCGAAGTGTCCATGAAAGCAAATGAAGAATCCAAGGGAGAGAGTGAAGAGGTGATCGAAGTGCCCATGGAGGCAAATGAAGAATCCAAGGGAGAGAGTGAAGAGGTGATCGAAGTGTCCATGGAGGCAAATGAAGAATCCAAGGGAGAGAGTGAAGAGGTGATCGAAGTGTCCATGGAGGCAAATGAAGAATCCAAGGGAGAGAGTGAAGAGGTGATCGAAGTGCCCATGGAGGCAAATGAAGAATCCAAGGGAGAGAGTGAAGAGGTGATCGAAGTGTCCATGGAGGCAAATGAAGAATCCAAGGGAGAGAGTGAAGAGGTGATCGAAGTGTCCATGGAAGCAAGTGAAGAATCCCAGCAAGAAAGTCTTGATCACAAGAAGGAGAATGCGGAACTTAAAGCTGATATTGACTCTGTACAAGATGACTCGATGTCTAAATGTAAAACTGGAATTTCTAAGATAGGAAACTTCATACAGGAACTCAAGACTCGTGACTCTGAAGACAAGGATGGCAAGTTAAAAATGGACAGTGAAGGTTCTAAAAAGGAAGATATTATTTTTATAAAAGCAGTAAAAACCAATAAGACATCTGAGGGTGTTGAGCAAAATGATAGAATATCTCTGAACAAAGCTAAGGATTCTAGATTGGGTAAGTCAAAGAAATCTAAACAAGAAGATTTTAAACATCCTGAAAACAAGGATGGCAAGTTAAAGATGGACATTGAAGGTTCTAAAAAGGAAGATATTATTTTTATAAAAGCAGTAAAAACCAATAAGACATCTGAGGGTGCTGAGCAAAATGATAGAATATCTCTGAACAAAGCTAAGGATTCTAGATTGGGTAAGTCAAAGAAATCTAATCAAGAAGAAAGGAAATTGCACAAGGATGATATGGAGGAGGACAAGAAGACAACACTGAAAATTAAACTTTCTAGAGAGCAGGAAAATATAGATTTTAAGTCCAAGAAAGAAATTAAAGATGCTAGGAAGAATTCATCAACTTTGCAGAATGATCCCTGTGACATGGAAGAGATGATAGACAAATACTTAGAGTCTATAAGGAAAGAATATTCAACAACAACAACAACAACAAAGGAACATGTACCTGATAATGATGAAGTATGTAAGAAGGTGAGTAATCTTTTCATGTTTTCTCAGTTTATATATATGTTCAAACTGATGCTCTTGATGTGACCATTGACCACAGACAAATAAATCCAATTGTAATACAGTGAGGCTTCGATTTACGATGGTAATCCGTTCCCAGAGACGCATCGTAAGTCAAAATATTGTAAGTCGAAACGATTTTTCCTATAAGAAATAAAGGGAAATGAATTAATCCGTTCCTGACCCCGCAAAAAAATTAACTTCAAAGTAAATTTTATACCTAATTCACCCAAATCTTCACTACAAAAAGTATGTATAAGTTATTACTTATCTTTACTGATGACTCCTGTTGCCGTATGGAAGATGGTGAGAAGGGGGGAGGGGGGAAGGTGTTACTGATTAGAAGGGGAGTCCGCTTCCATTATAACATCAGGCAGTGATGATTTCTCAGGGGTACACTCTCCTGCATTTTGCCTGCATACCACTAGACCTGGTTGTGGTTCACTGCTAGTTTATCTCACTAAAAAATTGATCTAGCGACACTTGTTTTTCCCTTCGTTTTAACATTTGTCTGTAATGATACATCACAGTGTCATTGAAAAGGTTAAGGCAACGCCTACTGCAGCTTGATTGGGGTGAGTTGTTTCATCAAAAGTTTTCAGTTCTTCCCATGCTGCACACATTTTCTTTATTTTTGAGGAAGGAATATTCTGTACTGCCTCTATGATCATCCTCACATATGTTTTCATATGTTCAACCTTACCACTTATTTTCTTGGGACCCATGGCATGATATATAATAGTAAGTTTTATGTTCAAAAAGCAAAAAAAAATAGAATTTCTTATATGCGTGATTGTCACTAAGCGGCGACTCTAGTAAACTGAGGCAGGTCGGCCCGTGCGACCGGGAACCATGCGCTCAGTCAACCCCAACGTGTATCGACAAATATCGTTAGTTGACGACACTATCGTAAGTCAAATCGCATTTTCCGATCAAATTTATATTGTAACTCAAAATTATCTTAAGTCGGGGCAATCGTAAGTCGAGGAGCCACTGTATATACACATTCCATATTGTTCTATACTTAAAAATTATTATATTAGGGAATGTGTGTGTATTTCCTAATGCTAGTATCATTTAAAAATGCAATTGAATGAAGATTTTGTTGCAGCAAAGTTTTCCATTTGTGGCTTCAACTTTTTTATTTGGTTGAAGCTACTATCACTGATATCAGTGATCAGTAACCTGAAGCTATTATCACTGATCTAGTTTTATACTACTAGGTGCCATCAGTTGTGGAGTTATATTGGCTTATCGGGGACCAAAAGGTTGTTTTGTCCTTTCTCTAGTGACTGTTTCAGGACCGTCATCTTATGCCGAATACTGTCGTCTCGTATTGTGTGGCGTTGGCGGAGCCGCTGCAGCTTGCTTTCAGTATTGATGTTACTTCTGCACTGTTTCACAAGCTTTCTCAGGCACTGTTTTACGTCCGGCCTGCTCATGCGCCATCTGAGCCGTCCTGGTACTTGGACAGAGTGCTCTCATATCTGTTTTCTCCTAGGTTTGTTGTAGCCCCTTCGGTTCAGGATTGTTTTTCCAAAGCTCTTTTCCTGTTGGCATTGGCCTCTGGAGGTGGGGTTGGGGAACTTCATGCTCGCCTCCACCAAAGGGGTTTCTGCTCTTTTGGTCGTGGTGATAGATTTGTTCGTTTGCAGCCGTCTCCTTCATTTCTGGCGAAGAAGGAGACTGCTGCTTTCCGAAGGGATCTTTGGGTTGTTGATGCTTGGTTGGTTAGGCCGGGGGTGCATTTTGTTTTTGTCCGGTTGCGGCTCTCTGCCGTTGTTGGCACGCCACGGCTTCTGGGTTCGTGGACGCGCTTTGGGTTGCTCCGGTTCCCTTCCTCCCTGTTCGAGGGTGCTGGTCTCCCAGGTCGTCCGCGGGGTTCTTAAGGCTCTCCAGCCTGCGGTCTATCTCCATGCCCATGACGTCCGCAAGTTTGCGGCTCTTGCCGCCGTCTTTGGTACTGTGTCCTGGGAGGACGTTCAGGCACGGGGAATTTGGCGGTCGGACAGGGTCCTTGGCTGTTCGTTACCTTGTGTGCGTGCCTGGGCCCAGTTGGGCCTGTGTCGCTTTAGGTCGGCGGATGCGGCCTGTTGTCTCGACTTCGGGTTGAGTAGTGTGCGGCGACCACCTCCCAGGTCAGTCCCTATTCTTTTCCTCTGTGGGTAGTTAGCTTCGAGGACCTGTAGGGGCTCCCCCCAGAAAACCAGTGTTGAATGTAATGAAACGCCATTTTATGGGTGAGTCCCGGAGGCTCCCCGGATTCCTTCCCTCCCTCCGGTCGGCGGTTTTTCGCGTGTTTTGACATCCAGCCTCAAAACTGGGGTGTGGATCGCCGGCGTGATAGGTCTGGAGCTACCCCTTCCCCCTCCCGGGAAGGGGGGAGCTGCACAGACAGCGGCGCGATGATGGGTGACGTCATATTAGTTTGCTCATTTGTGTTTGGGGAGTTCTATCCACTCGTTCGGTTTTTGGTTGCAATTTTCACCAGAATATGGGTTTGTTTTGGGACGCCTACCTTTCTGGGTGCCTAACCCGGTCGATGGCAGACATTGAATACTTCCAACCACACGGGGGTTTCTATAGGCCATTGCTCCCCTTGCCTCTCTGAGGGGGCCAGGTTCTGGCTCGTGGTCCCCAGTAGGCCCATAAGAACTCCATACACATGAATGATGTCAAAGTCTAACATTAGCATATCAGCCTGGTAAGCTCCGGGGAGCCTCCGGGACTCACCCAGAAAATGGCGTTTCATTACATTCAACGCTGGTTATTTTTATTTCCGATACGTTACACGGTGACGTTATGCTCGTTTGCTCGTTTTCACTTGGGGAGTTCTGTCCACTAGTTCAGCTTCAAGTAGCAATATTTTAACCAGAATAGGAGTTTGTTTTGGGTGCCTGACCCAGTCGAGAGCAGACATGGAATGCTTCCAACCACACGGGGGTTTCCGTAGGTCATTGCTCCTCTTGCCTCTCTGAGGGGGCCACGTTCTGGCTCGTGGTCCCCAGTAGGCCTAGAACTCCATGCGCATTCACTAATGCCAAGGGTCTAATACATTCATATCAGCCCCGTTAGCTCCGGGAGCCTCTGGGTCTCACCCAGAAAATGGCGTTTCATTACGTTCAACACTGGTTTTTAATCTACTCACTTACCGTCATCTACCCAATCATCATCATCTCCTACCCTCAAATTCATTTGAATGCACTCTTTTTCACCAGTCTAAGCCATTTGTTCAGTGTGCCCAAACATCTCTGTATGTTCTCCTAAATCTTGTTGTTTACTGTATTGACTTTTGTACATTACAAAATGTTAGAAAAAGAGCTATTGCCCATACATGGCATTACTTGTTGATAACGATTTTTTACAAATGAGCAGGACTATTAAATATATAATGTATTTTATGTATTTTATTAATCAACATGACTGTAGTAATTGTATATTTTATTTACAGGTACCTGTAATTGGTGAGCCACATATGTACAGGTTTAGTAAGGTGGTTATAATTGGAGATTCTCGCATCAAGCCATTGGAAGATGTTGGGATGAAGAGCACATTTGGCCCTCTAGAGATCAAGTGTGTGCCAGATTTGACCTTTGATAATCTGAAGGAAGCTGTTAAGCATAATGTTGATAAAAGCAATTGCCCTCGAGGAATCTTGCTCATTTGTAGTGTTGGCATCTATGATATGATTGAGTTAAATAACAATTTATCCTGTGAGAAAATGCTTGATCATGAACCAATGAAGCAAATCTCTGATACACAACATTCTATGAAAAATAAAAACTATTTCTCTTTTTGGGTTAACCTTCGTACAGATTTAAAGAAATTATTCTGTAAAAATTCGATGATCTTTTTTACCACTATTCTTCCCGTTCACATTTCTAAATTTAATAAATGCCAGGCACAAGCTCATAAAATGGCTACTGGACACAACCCAGGTTATAGCAAGAAGAAAAGGAAATTGTGGACGTCAAAAATGATGAATATAGACTTTTCTGTTAATTCTGAGGTGAGCAAATTCAACTCCCATGTCTCAGTATTAAGTGTGAGAGGAGATAGGAAAACAATTATTTTTAATCTTTTGCCAAATGTGAGAGAAGATGGGCAAATTTTTTTTGCAAATTCTTTACCTCCTAATCCACATTATAATATTGATGATGGTTTAAACCCGTCAAGAGATGCAACACAAAATTATATGGTTCCCATGCTAAAATATACCATTAAGCAATATCATATGAACAGGTACCAGGAAGTTGTGCTTATTGGTGATTCCAGATTACAAAAAGTGGAAAAAGTGTGGCCTATAAAGGATGGAGAGATGGTCACTATATTTACACAGTGCAAGTTGTCCTTCCGAGCTTTGACTGAAGACAACCCCATTGTGAAGGAAATTTCAGGCAAGAAGGATGCACTTATAGTTCTTAGTTTAGGCATGTATGATATTATAAACTTTGTTGCAGAAGATGGGTGTGACTCCCATAAGATGAAATTGGAATTACCCTCATTATGTTTAGAGAATTTGGACTCTAGTGATAAACTCTGGAATGACTTTGTTAACTCACTGAAGAGCGTTGACGAACTTCTCCGTAAAGTAACGACTAACTGTGATGTTATAATCACAACCATTTATCCATTTGATTTTCTGACCTTACAGAACTACTTGGTCAAGAGACACGCTGAAGAAACTGGACACATTGTAACAATTCCTTCACAATCCATGGAAATAAAGGAAAAATTGAACAGGATTGAGGATTTCATGTTAATAGTAAATAAGTTTGCTTTTACACTTGCTGAAGAGAAACAGTTACCTGTCTGGGACTTTAATAGTTTGGTGTTTAGTGCTTACAAATCAGCAAATTATGTTCCTCTGTTTGATGGTTTTCATCCAACTGCATTTGTTGCAAGGAGGATAGCTAAAGCTTGTGTGAAGCTTGCTGATAATTCTTTGTATGTTTGCTGTTCCAATTTCAGTATTGTTGAGATGGAGGATGAAGCTGAATTTGACAAGAAGCTTCATATGCGCCAGCCAGATTTATCTACTGTATTGGAAATCTTTGATGTGTCTGTCTCTCCAATTTGTAATGAGACTGTAGTTAAAAGAAAATGGAAAAACACCGAAAATGATAGTAATGTCATAGTCACCATGTCTGAATGTGAGCCCTCAGCTGCTGGGGAAGATACATTAGCAGTCAATGTAAATAAAATAAAAGACTGTATTTGTCCAGGTGCCTTGAGCTCAAAAATTAAAAATTGTGTGCGTGAGAAAAGAGAAGACAATCTTGAGAGAGAAAACAGTGTCAGTCAGAATCCTCTCTTTGATCCTTTCTCTCCATCTTCACTGCAATTGCCATCTCTAGATAATGAAGAGAAAGATTCTGAATTTCATGGTGAGGAAACTTGGTCATTTAAAAAGTATAAATTGGCAGGAAATTACACGGTAAATTATACTGAAAGTAACTTCAGCTGTTCCCAGAATAGCACTCCTGATCTGAGGCCTACAATATATTTTAGTCAACCCAAAAGTAGTGAAGGAGTTAGCAAAAGTTATAGTCCTAGCATTGGCTATAATCCAGAGAGACAATATAGTCCCGAGAGAGAAAATAATCCAAAGAGGGTGACTAGCTCATGGAGTTATGGTAGCAGAATCAATCACTGCAGTGGAGATAGGTCGTACAGTGCTGGAAGTAGTAATTATGACAAATCTCTTTCTAGTCCGGAAAGGATAAGGCGGGAGAGATGTCACACTCCTGTTAAACAATACCCTTTAGATAGAGATGGGACATGGAGGCAAAGTCCATCAAGAAGTTCAAGTAGAGGTGAAATAGGGAGGCAGAGTCCAAGAAGAAGTTGTAGTAGAGATAAGATAGGGAGGCAGAGTCCAAGAAGAAGTTGTAGTAGAGATAAGATAGGGAGGCAGAGTCCAAGAAGAAGTTGTAGTAGAGATAAAATATGGAGGCAGAGTCCAAGAAGAAGTTGTAGTAATGATAAGATAGGGAGGCAGAGTCCAAGAAGAAGTTGTAGTAGAGATAAGATAGGGAAGCAGAGTCCAAGAAGAAGTTGCAGTAGAGATAAAATATGGAGGCAGAGTCCAAGAAGAAGTTGCAGTAGAGATAAAATATGGAGGCAGAGTCCAAGAAGAAGTTCTAGTAGAGATAAGATAGGGAGGCAGAGTCCAAGAAGAAGTTGTAGTAGAGAAAAGATAGGGAGGCAGAGTCCAAGAAGAAGTTGTAGTAGAGATAAAATATGGAGGCAGAGTCCAAGAAGAAGTTGCAGTAGAGATAAAATATGGAGGCAGAGTCCAAGAAGAAGTTGTAGTAGAGATAAGATAGGGAGGCAGAGTCCAAGAAGAAGTTGCAGTAGAGAAAAGATATGGCGGCAAAGTCCAAGCAGAAGTTGTAGTAGAGATGAAACATGGAGGAAAAGTCCAAGAAGAAGTTGTAGTAGTGATGAAACATGGAGGAAAAGTCCAAGAAGAAGTTGTAGTAGAGATGAAACATGGAGGAAAAGTCCAAGAAGAAGTTGTAGTAGAGATGAAACATGGAGAAAAAGTCCAAGAAGAAGAAGTTGCAGTCCAGTCCAACACTATGCACATAGCTCAAGTGATCAGGTCAGCAGTGAGCATTTGAGAAAAGATAGGCACCACAGTCCATGGAAGAGAGAGATGCACTCACCTTCACTTTCTCCACATTCGAAAAGGTATGAATATACTTTGGTTTATATCTTGCCCTTAACTTTTTTCTGGCATAATCCTGTGAGTTGAGGACATCTTTATTCAGTATGGAGTAAAGTCTGATGACTTTCCCGACCCTTCTCACTCTCTTGTACATTATCTTCTTTCCCCTTCTCTTTCCTTTCTCCATTTCCTATCTCACCCTGCTTTTCTTTATTCTTTCAATCTTATTATTCAGCCCTATCCATTTCTACTCTCCTCTTCTATATCCTTCCCCTCCTTTTCTGGGGGGAGCCCCTACGGCTCCCCGGAGCTATCCAGGCTGATATGGATACCTTAACTATTTTGCATCAGTCAATGTGGGTGGAATTCTAGGCCTACCGAGGACCACGAGCCAGAACCTGGCCCTCTCACAGAGGCACGAGGAGCAATGGCCCATAGAAATGCACATGTGATTTCAAACATTCTATATCTGCCATCAACCGGGACTTGCTTGATACCTGCTTGATGGGGTTTTGGGAGTTCTTCTACTCCCCAAGCCCGGCCCGAGGCCAGACTTGACTTGTGAGAGTTTGGTCCACCAGGCTGTTGCTTGGAGCGACCCGCAGACCCACATACACATCACAGCTCGGTTAGTCCGGCACTCCTTGAAAAAAATAATTTAGTTTTCCCTTGAAGATGTCCATGGTTGTTCCAGCAATATTTCTGATGCTTGCTGGTAGAATGCTGAACAACCGCGGACCTCTGATGTTTATACAGTGTTCTCTGATTGTGCCTATGGCACTTTTGCTCTTCACTGGGTCTGTTCTGCATTTTCTTCTATATCGTTCACTCCAGTACGTTGTTATTTTACTGTACAGATTTGGGACCTGTCCCTCCAGTATTTTCCATGTGTATATTATTTGGTATCTCTCTCGTCTCCTTTCTAGTGAGTACATTTGGAGAGCTTTGAAACGATCCCAATAATTTAGGTGCTTTATCTCGTCTAAGCGTGCTGTATATGTTCTCTGTATTCCCTCTATTTCAGCAATTTCTCCTGCTCTGAAGGGGGAAGTGAATACTGAGCAGTACTCAAGATGGGACAACACAAGTGATTTGAAGAGTACAACCATTGTGATGAGAGCTCTGGAATTGAAGGTTCTCATAATTCATCCTATCATTTTTCTGGCTGACGCAATACTTGCTTGGTTATGCTCCCTAAACGTTAGGATGTCGGACATCATTATTCCCAAATCCTTGACATGATGTTTTCCTTCTATGGGCAGATTCGATTGTGTTTTGTACCCTGTATTATGTTTCAGATCCTCATTTTTGCCATATCTGAGTACCTGGAATTTAACACCGTTAACCACTTAACTGCGCCAACCGAGAAAACTCTTTGATTTTTTGGTACCAATTCTAAATGTGTGATTACCTAAGTGTAGTTACAGGGTGAGAGCTACGCTCGTGGTGTCCCGTCTTCCCAGCATTCTTTGTCATATAACGCTTTGAAACTACTGACGGTCTTGGCCTCCACCACCTTCTCACCTAACTTGTTCCAACCGTCTACCACTATGCTTGCGAAAGTGAATTTTCTTATATTTCTTCGGCATCTGTGTTTAGCTAGTTTATATCTATGACCTCTTGTTCTTAAAGTTCCAGGTCTCAGGAAATCTTCCCTATTGATTTTATCAATTCCTGTTACTATTTTGTAACATAGTAACAGGAATACATATTACAGCGTTGAATGTAATGAAACGCCATTTTCTGGGTGAATCCCGGAGGTTCCCCAGCAACCCTCTCTCCCTCCGGTCTACGGTTTTTCGCGTTTTTGATATCCAGCCTCGGAACTAAGGTGTGGATCGCCAGCGCGAGGGTCTGGGGCTCTCCCTTCCCCCTCCCAGAGACGGGGGGAGCTGCGCAGACATGCGGAATGGCTCGTGTGATGTCATGGTTGTTTGTTCATTTTTTTGGGGGGGAGTTCTGTCCACTTGTTGGAGATTTTTGTTGTTTTTACCAGAATTGGGGTTTGTTTTGTGGGGATTACCTTTCTGGGTGCCTGTCCCTGTTGATGGCAGATATAGAATGCTCGAAATCACATGTGCATTTCTGTGGGCCATTGGTTTTTGTGCCTCTGTGAGGGGGGCCATGTTCTGGCTCATGGTCCCCCGGTAGGCCTAGAACTCCACCCACATTGACTGATGCAAAATAGTTAGGGTATCCATATCAGCCTGGATAGCTCCAGGAAGCCTCCGGAACTCACCCAGAAAATGATGTTTAATTCTCAATCGATTTCATTCTCAATCGACTTGAGAATGGTCCAGGACGGACCGAAACGTCGTCGTCCCTTCAACTTCTAGTGTGTGGTCTGGTCAACATACTTCAGCCACGTTATTGTGACTCATCGCCTGCTGATGTTTCATTACATTCAATGCCGTTTTTTTTTTTGCTTTCCATAGATCCTTTTTCCCCTTCTCATCTCCCTCTCTCCATCCCTCCTTTGCCTTTAGACTGTGCTTGGTAGATACTTGGCAACTTTTGCAATGAACATTTCCTCATTGTCTTGTCCCATTATCTTCTTACTTTTCCTTGTCTCTATCAAAAAGTTAAAATAGTTGAGTCTTTATATGCAGTGTCTAGTCTTTATACCCTGCACTGTAATACAGGTATATAAATACAGTACCAGTAATTATGAGGGTCTCGGTTGTTTTGGTGCATTATGCTGTCTAGTTTATTCCATCAATAACATGATCCAAGGAGTATGTTATGGATGCCATTCCTCATTCTAATGTCATTGATGCATATCATCTTTGCTGTATTTTATGGTTGAATTTCTTTGTATAAATTTTACTTAAACTCTAATGAATTAAACTCTTTTATTATACTCCTATCAACTTTACCATGTGTCACCACCTTTCAGTTTTGTAATAGGAATAGTAAGTACAGTAATAATTGACTGTGTTCTGTGCTGAAATTTGTTGTACTTTATTTTTGGGGGGATTTGGACTTACGTCCTGTAAGTCCTAAACATCCTGTTTAGTGTAATTTATTGCTTATTCTATTTGTAATTTATTTATTTCCAGATCACGATCACGATCTATCTCTCGCTCTCATGCCCATTCAAGTAAAGGAAGAAGAGAAGAGCGTGGTTTGAACAGAGGAAGAGAAGAGCGTGGTTTGAAAAGAGGAAGAGAAGAGCGTGGTTTGAAGAGAGGAAGAAGAAAAAAGCGTGGTTCAGAACATTCTGTCATTGTATGTGCCCTGCATTCTTTGCGTGAAGTTCATAACCGTGAGTGTGATAAGTATAGAAAAAAACCATTTGCTCATCCTGATTACACTAAAGAATATCAAAAATTTGTTGACAAGAAGAGGGAGAGAATTCTTTCACTTGGAGGTGATCCAAGCACATATGACACGACAAAAGAATGGGAAATATTTTGGCAGTCTCGTATGGAAACTATATTTAATGAATGTTGGACAGTCAAGAGAGACCAGTGTGTATCAATGTTGCCCGTCAATAAAAGTTTCTCTCATTCACCTTCTCCCTCTTCTAGTTGTTCAGTGTCTTCAGACAGATCATCAGATACTAGCAATTATAACTTTAGTAACATTCTTGGAAAGAAAGCTAAATGTTCTAGATCACCAAGTATAGACAGAAAGAAAAATGTCAAGGAAGTGAAGATAAGTAGAGAGAGAAAAATAAGTAATAGGATAAAATATTTTCAAGACAAGGGAGTACAAGAAGAAGAGAAGATTGATCCCAAACACAGAGACTTCATCAGGAAGGGAAAGAGTCTCAAATGTTCATCAAGTGAGACCTTTTGGGATAATGGTTTTCTCGCTGGAGAGAAAGGAAGTAGTTGTGTTGCGGAAAAGTTGGGTATGAAAAATATGGAAGGAAATATTAATGAACTTTTACAAGTTATTGAACCAGTGAAATCAGTTGAACATATTGCAGGAAATACAGCAAATTCCTTTGTGACTGAACTAATACCTTATATATCAAATGATGCTAAACAGCCCTTCAACAGGAATATTATGGCCGAGTCATGTGAAAAAATTACATTGATGGCTCGGCTATCAAAAAAGACAAGCTGTAGATTACAAGATTCACTAAAAACATCGGGAGTGAGTTTTCCCGAGAAAGAAGAACAGTTGAAACTTAATACAACCAGGCAATTACCTGAAGTGGAAGTCTCTTCCACAACTCTTACAGGATGCTTTACAGCCGAGGTAATTGACGTTTTAGAGTTATTGAGTCATGTAGGAGAGCGGTTAGGGGCATTACAGAGTCCTGTAAAATTATTGCATGAGCAAGCATTAATGTTTAAGTCAAGTGGATTAGATGCAATTAAAATTTTTGATGAAATTGATAACAAAATTCTGTTAAACATGATAGTAGATAAATTAAGAAAGGCACTGAAAGATGGCACACTAAACATCATCCATAAAATCATCACACGGGAAGCTGAAGAAAAACTTAGCCTTTTACTTGAAAAAGAAAAAGATCGATCTTTGCTCCATGATTTAAATGTTGATAGCATAGCTAATGCTTGTCTTGGAAAAAGTTCAGCTGAGACTACAACCTTTATTGAAAATGCTTTGATGTATCTTGGTCACACTAAAGTTCCTCAGGATCAGTTAATGAGAATTCACATGGCAGTTAAGACGGAACAAGCAAAGATATTTTCCCTTTCAAAGAATGTGCCTCAAGGTAGAGATTGTGTAGTTAGTAAACCATTACAGATACCTGTGCCACCAGGAAAGCCAAGTCATCATGATGCAGTGCCAATATCACAACAATACACCTCTGTTCCACCTCCCTCTTTAGGATCTGCCACCTATTCTCAGTCTCACATAAGAAATTTATGTCTGCCTTTTCCTGTTGCTCCTGGACAAGAAGCTGTCCCAAAACCTGTTCATACAATATCACAAGCTCCACCTCAACCTATTGCTAGTACATCACAAACTGCACCACACACTATTGCTTCTACACTACAAATGATACCTCAGCCTGTTCCTCCACCTGTCATTATGCCAGGAAGTCACACTTTTGGCTCTTCAACTCACACTGCAAGAACTGTAGTCAGTGACAAATTGTCATTAACTGATTTTCTTTCTTCAATAGTTCACATTAGTTAAGTTAATGTTCAGTTAATAGTTCAGTTAATGTGAACTGAATTGTGTTAACCAGCTATGTTTATTATTGTACCTTCAAAGCAATATTGCTGCAATTGAAGTGACTACATTTAACCCCTTAACTGCGCGGCCTCCAAATATGACACCCCCCCAGTGCGCAGGAAAATTTGTCTAATTTTAAAGTAAGTACTTTAGCTGCTATGGAGTCCGTAAGTTCGTGCGTTACGTCGTCATTCCCTGGTTGCCCGTGGCATACGCCCCCGGGGCCGGTAGGGCGCTCGGGGCAGGATGTATGAGTTGCCGTCAATATATTTTTGTTCATTTTCTGCGCACAGCTCCAAATACTTTTTATATGCTTTTGCATGTCAATCCTATGTATAATGAACACGTACGCTATATTATGGCCGTAGAACATCCGTACTGTCCGAAGACACTGTGTTACATGTATGACACATGTGTACATATATCCAGCACATATTTCCATTGTATTATGCTAATTTATGTATATATATACAGTCTATTTACACACTATACACTATCACACACTATATACATTCACCATGAACACACCCAGAACTCTGCGAGTGTCAGCTGCCACACCCTCACTCCTCTAACATCCAGTCTCTCCCTCACTCCTCCAACATCTTACTCGCCAACATTGTTCCTACCACCATACTGTTATTGTTTGTATTACACTATTTACACATGTTATGTATACCTATCTACATGTTTCATTCACCAGAACTATGCAAGTAAGCCGGTATTGTGTCCAAACTTTACAGTGGCCACTATACACTGCATGAGAAATCACACAGCAGCCAGCAGACGACGCTACGATTATGTCACCTCCCCTCACCAAAATAGCTCCTCTCAACATACTCCTGTTGCTGTTACTATACTATATACACACATTGTATATACCCATGTACAAATGTGTTCACCATAGCAAACCACTAAGCTAGTATGATTAGCTAAACAAGAGTGGCTGCCACACACTCACAGTGAGGCTACCTCGATTCTCTCCCACGCTCCCTCACTACAATTACTCCTACAATACTACGCACAGTGCTTATTATCACCACAATCCTGCTGTTATCACAATACTGGTCACTAAATCCTGTAAATACATAATTGACCACAAGTTTATTTTGTACAGGAACCTAAGAAGTCGTTTGAAGACTCCTAGATGGACGAAATAATGCTGTGGTGCTGTGGCTAGTGTTGTGTACATCGTGAATGTTACGGCCCTCTCGGGTCGCAACTGGGTTCTTACTCTGATGTTGTTAGAGAAAGGGTATCCGGCCCCAAGCCAGTAGTGGCTTTCAAGGGATGTGATCCGTAACGCAAGTAAATTAAAAGGGGAAGGGAAAGAAAGGCAAAAACTTAATATTATAATTAACACCTTCACCAATAAATATATATATAAGAACGATTACACGGGGGGGGGGGGGGTATAAACACTATAATACACTGTCGTCTTCTTCTGAAGACTCTGGATCTTCTCGGTGCCAAGCTCTCGTGGCCTCACGACGAATCCTTCGAGAAGCTGAGTCTACCCCGGCCACAGGCCAGCCAAAACACAGTTCCACTGGGGGCACCGCCGTGGAGGCCGTCAACTACAAGTCCAGCAGACGGCTGGCAGGTTCCGAATCAGCGACGCTGGTTAGGCCACTCCACGAGCGATACTAGGGTAGCGCCCTAGTCAGGAGCCTCGTGTGATACCACAGATCACTCTCCTTTCCACAATACCCCAGTGGTTAAGCGTCTCCACCAGTCAGTCCCGGGTATGACAATCCTCAAACTGCCGCTTCACAGGCAGGGTAACACCACAGTGTTCATCCGGGAGGCGACTCACAGCTGCTGCAGCAAAACACTTGGTGTCGAGACGGCTGCCTTGGGTAGACTGACTCAACTTCCCTTACAGCAGTCCCAGGTCGACTCTGTAAGCAGACACGTCATCAATAACAGGGACACACTAAAGCACCTCACTTACAGGCTCAGACACAAACGCCCGACGTATCCACTCCATAGATGGCGTTGTTGTCTGGGCACCACCGCACCAGAGGTCAGCAGCAGCTGTGTTGTGAGCTGAACAGGACTGGAAACTTGCCCTCGTGGCCAGTACACCTCGTCCTCACCAGGTGTCGTCATCCATTTGGAGGGGGTTTCGGGAGCTGACCCACAGATGGCGCGGTCGTCACTGCTCCGTGCTCGGACGCTGGATTCGGGTCCGTAACAGTGAACAGCATTGAATCACTAATATTTGAACATTGTACCCAGTCATCATTACACTCAGGCTCTTCTGTAATACTATCATGGCTAAATAATACAAGTTATATATATTTTGACATTATTAGGGGATGCTGTGGTCACAAGCTGAACAGCAATGCTGTGAGCTCATGCTGCGTGCGCCAGCCTTGGTTGCTCTCTCACTACTGAGGCTCTCAAACCCGGGAATGTGGACCACGATTTTTTTTAAAGATGGCGTCTGTTTACAAGAGCCCTAAGGAAGCTGATGTGAACCCCATGTAGCCGCGGGAGTTTTAAATGGAACTTGAAAAATACAAATACCTGGAGGCGCGCTCCCCAGACGTGGGCCTGCAGGTGCGTTGCGCAGTTAAAGGGGTTAATTATCAAACAACATCCTTTTAAAAAAGAAAATTATAACATTGTTACCTTGTAATTTGCAAACTTCACATACAGTTTGGCCAACCCAGCATACCAAGATACAAAAATTGTCAAATTAACTTTGAAGGTTGTAAAGAAACCTAATACGATTTCTCTTAAAGCTCTCACAAGAATTTTGTAAACACATAGTCTTTTTGGTAAGAGTACAAAAGTGGGGAATTTAGTTAAGTCAATATTACCATTAAATTGTATGCCAATATAGTATGCTGTACTTAAATATTTCAAAGCTTATTTGCAGTAGCTGGTGTATTTTGTTTGAGTACTACCACAAATAGCACTTGTGTTTTTATATATGTTACAGTAGTGTCTTTGATTAAAAAAAAGTTGGTTGAATAGTGCTGAGAACAGACTTTACCAAGTCTGTTACCTAGTCAAGAACAGAGAACAAGACATACCAAGATAAGAGCAGACTTTACTGTAGATAACATTTTTTACAACCAAATTCTTGACCAGAAACATTTGTAATCCAAGATCATTTTTGTGAATTCTTCACTATCAAAAATCAGTATAATAGAATGGTAGAGTATATAGAGTATATACTGTACTTGTACAGTATAATAGAATAGTAACAGTAGCAGGTGAGAAGGCATGACGCACACTTCAATGTTTGTTTACATTACTGTGCTTCATTATCAGAATTAGAAAAATCTTTGCCAAATATAGGTGACAATACAGGGTTGAAAGATGTAAATACTTTACTAATTTTAGCATGATGAAAGAAGTCATGGTCAAACTCGAGTGAGTGAAGCTCAGATGGTACAGTCACTGGCCGAGTTTCATGTGCATCTTTGACATAATGAATTTGTGAGCAGAGCAGTACTAGTGGTGAAAGCATAAGAGAAAAGATGTTAATCATGAGTGAGTGTGAGCTTTACACTAGACAGTGGTATAATAGTGTAAGTTTTGCTGAATTTTAATGTTAGTAGGCCTATTTGGCGGGCCTTGCAAGAGTGCTATATTATCAATGCTCAAATAGAAAAATTTATATTTGTATGTTGATCGCGATTCTATTATGCGTATAATGTATAATACAGCATGTAAGAATTTTCAATCTAATTTTTATCATTCTTGCATAAAATTTGGGATTCGTTATAAAGAATCAATTGATAAACTTTTGTGAAAACACGAATTCATGTACAGTAGTTTATTTTGTCGTGAAAGGATGATGATGATATGTAAGTGAAGATGTATAGATATTTTTATTAATTAAAATCTCCAGAAATTAATGATCCATTGTGAATATTGCAGTAAAAATTTCTTATTACTTTAATTCTTAGCACACAAGAGGCACTTTCTTCAAATCTTGCCTGTATTACATAGTGAACTGGGGAAAATCAGAATCCATTGTCATCATTATACAAATACTGTTCTTAACACACTATTATTTTTGTATCATTGCATTACTTGGTATAATATGTTAAACTGTATATAAGTCAATAAGTGCGAAGAGTTTTATTTCTGTAGAGAGTAGTGACGAGTGTCCGAGTCATAATTTTTTTTGTTTCAGTGTACTGTACAGTAATACATAAGACTTAATTATTTTCTACCTCCTGTATCTATCTCCAGTTGATGCGATAGAGTCTATATGTGAAGATAAAATTGGGTACAGTTGCCAGAGTGAGTAACATGCTGGACTGGAAGTTCAAGGGTCATGAGATCAATTTGTAAAAAGTTTAATATGTATAGAGAAAGCAGTGTTGTTTTACACCAGGTTTGAGCTTGTTTCTGGAGCATAACTGTGTCCAAACTGATTGTGAAAGCTCAACTGGTTTATAAATAATCCCTTAGATAGAGATGGACTTTCTTTATTAGAACATATGTAGTTGAAAATCCAGAATCATGAAAGAGTCGACTTGTAAATTCTTCTCTTCCCTTCACTATGAAGAGAACTTATCTATGCTTGGAACCTGCTCCAAGGGTAAAGGTCCAGACAGCAGCAGAGTTTGATGGCGCATTATATATTGTATCATACTCAGTTAACGAATTTAAAGTTTTATTCATTTTCTGCATTTGTTCAGGGCTTGTGATAATTTAATTATAATACTGTATACTACATTTTTCTGGGGATCCCCTTCAGCTCTGGAGCTATCCAGGCTGACATGGATATTATATTAGACTTTGGCATCAGTCAATGTGAATGGAGTTCTAGGCCTATCGGGAACCACGAGCCAGAACCTGGCCCCCTCAGAGAGGCACGAGGAGCAATGGCCCATAGAAAACCCTATATGGTTGGAAGCATTCTATGTCTGCCATCGACTGGATTGGGCACCCAGAAAGATAAGCATCCCAGACCAAACCCCTATTCTGGTTGAAACTACTACTGAAGTCAAACGGGTGGACAGAACTCCTCAAATAAAAATGAGCAAACGAGCATGATGTCACCACGTGCTGCGCTGCTGTCTGTGCAGCTTCCCCCTCCCCGGGAGGGGATAGGGGGGAGCCCCAGACTCCTCAGTTCTTTGGCTGATGTGAATGGCAATGGTCATGTTACTCTGGCTCCTGACTTCTGTCCTCTGCTCTGTGCCTTGTGGTGTGGTGCGAGTTCTTCTCTGGAGGTGCGCGAGCTAGAAGTAATCTCACAAGTGCTCGGGCTGCACGTACCTAGAGTCGTCTTCCCTAGGTGCCCCCTGTAAGTACTGCTCTTGTGACTTTGGTATACCTTCCTCAAGTCACCTTGGGATCTACCTCTACTTGGTCTTTTGCTGCTCGGTGATCGACCATCCTTAGTGTGCTGGGTTTTCTGCACCCTTGTTTGCCTTTGGGAAGTGGTAGTTTGCACTAGTAGGGGCACAGGCCGGGTACTGCACAGCTAGTTATCACCTCTCATAGCAGCCGGGTCTGTCCCACCTGGGATCGTTGTCCTCTTATGGCATTTTTGTTTTGTTTTTGTTTCCTTGCCTGGTGGAGGGGGTCTGCCCCTTGTGTTAGGTTGTTGCCATTGTCTTTGGTGGTCACTCCACTAGGTTCCCATGAGTGGACACGTCCCGGGGTGCAGCTTTTAGTGGATCTCTTGGTAGTC